GGTTTTGGGGTTTTAGGGTTTTGAGGTTTTAGGGCTTAGGTTTTTGCGAATTTCGGTTTCGGGTTTAAGGTTTAGTGCCTGCCTTGAGGTGTTGGGTTATTACTATATATGGGCTTATGTTTCAGCATCGTGGGGGTTTAGAGCTAAGGACGTAGGGTAATTTGGAGATAGAACTAGGGTTAAGGCTGTGCGGTTGTGAAGGTGAAGGAAATATATGGTGTCAGGATGCGTTAGCCCCAAGCTTTCCAGAATACTGGTAATAACGCCGATTCATAGATATCTCACTTAGCGAAAGGCACCTATTACATGCAGATAACGTGAATCTCGGCTGGACGTCAAGATGCTTCCTCTAAACCCTAAACCCTAAACCCACTCTAAAGATGGATCTCCGAAAGGAGGGAGAGTTTATCGCAGCCTGAGCCTGCCCGGAGCTGAGCCTGAATTCTACAGGTTCGGGTTTAGGGGTCCAGGGGTTCAGGATTTTGAATTTAGGGTTTTTGGGGGTGTAAGGCGGTGTAGGGTTTAGGGTTTAGGGGTTTAGGTTTAGGGTCTAGACGGGTTTAGGGTTTAGGGTTTGTAGGGGTTTAGGGTTTAGGTTGTAAACTGAAGTCCCAAAACCCTCATCCTAAGAAGCCTCGATCCTTTTGTATGCCTACAGCTCCCAACCTTCAGCTCTAATTCCTACCCTCAGCCCTTAGCCCCTAAAGGCCCTAAACCTTAAGCCGGAAACCCTAAACCCGAGGCACCGAAGCCTAAACCCCCAGCCAAAATGCCAGATCCCGAGCCCTAAGCCCGAAATCCAAAAAAAGCCTAAAGCTGTCTGAAGCCCAAGGAGTTCGGTCCGAAAGGCTTACTGGAACGACTTGGTAGCCCTGCAGAGGCGCGCAGAAGCTTTTAGACTATGGTGTGGGTTTACATTGGGTTTGGGGTTTAGGTATGGTGTGGGTTTACATTGGGTTTACCTTAACCTACCAAAACCCACTTTTTTGTAGGTTCTGTTTATAAACCCTAATGTGGGATTTATAGGGAACCTACAAAAAAGTAGGTTCTGGTGGGTTAAGGTAGGGTTTAGGTTGAGTTCTTCATGTCCGTTAGCCCTAAGCCCAACAGAGATCCTAGAGCTTACGGAGTCGCCCCGTTGGACCGATGGTTTTGGGTTTAGGGTTCAGGGTTCAGGGTTTAGGGTTCTGGGTTTAGGGTTCAGGGTTTAGGGTTTAGGGTTTAGGGCTTAGGGTTCAGGATACTTGCTCGTTTTGTTTACAGTGTTTGGTCATGAGCTTGTGTGGGGGGGTTCACGTCTGGGCAGGTTTCGGACTTGAGGCTCCAAACCGCGGGCATTCTTAACCCCTAAACCCCCTATGCCCTACACCCCTAAACCGCTAAACCCGAAACCCTTAAACCCCTAAACCCTACACCCCTAAACCCCTAAACCCTAAACCCTAAAGCCCTAAACCCCTAAACCCCTAAACCCTAAACCCTGACCCTGGTCCCAAAAGCCTCAACCCCGGACCCTGTACCCGACACTAGAATGGGTTTAGGGGTTTGGGGTTTTGGTTTAGGCTTTAGGGTTAATCCGCCACATCCTTGGAGTTTTGACGCTTTACTGCACGGTTGCAAGCTTCTCAAGTTTCTCAGTAGTGCCCTTAAGCACCATGTTCCTGAAGGGCTCCTTCATTATATATACCTGACTGTCTGAGCGCGCGTCTTTTTATGACAGAAAGATGCACAACAGGGAGAAGAGTCGTCTGATGATAAACATTGGAGCCTCAAAAAGTTACAAGACTATTTTGGAGGGGTTCCTCATAGTCTGGTACTATATCCCAAAACCCTAAACCCTAAACCCTAAACCCAAAACCCTATTCTAATTATTAAGGCTTTTACA